GGAGAAGTTGGTGACGGTAATCGCTGTCGACTTTATTCCAAAATCAGCTAGAGTAAATAAAACTTCAGTATTTTAAAGGAATGCAAAGAAAAGGCAATTATATAACAAAACAGACAAAAATGGTCTCCCCTCTTTGAATTTCGACGCAGTATATTCGCTTATTTTGCTATGCTTAATTTGCTTGAAAGAACTCGTGTTAGCAGGGGAACACCCAAAACAGATACGTTCCGATGGGGTCACAGTGTCATTCAATTAATATACACCATAGCTCAGGAAACCTGCTAAGATTCATAAAAACCTCGATACACAAAAAACTGCCCAAATGCCTAACCGTAAGGAGAACATTAAAAAAGACAACCTTATAGAAGAATCTAGAGAAAATGTGCATAAACGGGTATGGCTAGTTTGCCCGAAAATGTTTCATGCAAGTACTATCTAAAATCATGCAAGTTTTTAAGCTACATCGGCAAAAAACGTTTAGATGCTCCAATGGGAATTTAAACTACTAAGTGTAGATAACATAAATAGGGAGAACTTTTGTGAGAGTCCACAGATTAAATTTTATTTACATATATGCTCACCTTTTTAGTGTGTTAGCTAGTAGCAGGACGACAGTCATACGATGTCTTTAAGGACAGAAGAAGGCTTTTAGGGTAATAATATGTTACTTCTCACCGCAAAAGTTAATGTGGATATGCACTTAAAATGTCAGCTTATAGGAATTTGCCTTCAGTCGTGTTTTTTGGGTTCAGTGAAAATAGGTTCATCCTGCACTGACGACTGTTTATATCATCGTCTAATGTCTCACATTGTCATTAATTACTATACTAAATTCCAGGCGTTATTATAGCACCCACTCATTCAAGTGAAGTTTGTCTTCATTTCACAAAACCACCTCCATTTCAAAAGCCACCGCTTAATTTGAAACTGGGGTGTACCTCTGCTGAGGGAGCTGGAGACACATGAGCTTATAATGGAATGCGGAATGCAATGACCTTACTTCTGATGTGTAGAAGAATGACGTTATCAGCATTATATCTGCACAGCGGCAAAGGAAAAAAATGCGGAGGATAATACTTTGGATTTTATTAGCGGCGGGAATGATGCAGATATTTACGCGAATATACGCCCGCTCCTGCAGTGAAGTCAACCGCAAGAGTATTTTTTTGAAAAACTCATTTATGCGCGTAATGTTTTGCCATTCAATGCTCTTATCACCACCGGACGTACTGGTCGAATAAGGCTCTGGATATCAACACATCGTCCACACTCATAAAGAGACATTTTGCGGCCAACTGAGCCCGCCGCCTCTTTTAAAAACCCAAATAAACATTTCCAGGTTAACAATAAGAAGAAGCGATCGCTTGAACAAGGGCTTTATTCGCCTGACGTTTCGGATTCTTACTTGAACCCATCCGAAACGTCAGGCGAATAAAGTCCTTGTTCCAGCGACCCTTCTTCTTCTTTTCAACTTATTCTTGTGACTCGCATCTTTGCTTGTATTGGCAATTTCCAGGTTATTTATACCACCTGAAATTCATGCTCAATTTATGCCTACTGTGCCGAAAATTAAACTGTGCACGTGGCAATAACGTAAATTCTAGTGTTCTACAGCATTGTTTTTAGGGGAACAGGGGCGAAGACAAATTATCGACGGTATGATTCCCAAATTTCTAGCTTTATGATATCTTAGAGCAACAGCAAAGTGCTACTATTGGTTAGTATTTTCCAAAATTCCATTAACACTAATCTTTACATTTCCGCTCCCTAGCTCAGATCCTGTCGATCATGATACAGCGAAAAAGATGTAGAATCATGATAGCAGAGTAGGCACTATCTTATGCAACCCCAATTGTCACGCCTTTCTCATTCGTTGGCAACGCTCTCCCCATGTGGCCAGTTATCGTGAAAATTGGAACCACACAGACTATCTATTTTAACAAAAATTCCTTTGTTGCCGGTAGCCATTATACACATAAACAGACGTGTCTTATTATAAACATTAACCTTAGGAAATTCTTATTTTCTCAGAAGTGGTTACCGGACAATCTGTTAGCATTACGATATCTATGCAACCTTACATTGTCTAATGAAAACTGATTTGGCTGAGAGAACCGACAAAGTTGTTATGAAACACCCCAACTCGCTTATCCTGTGCTTAATTAGCGTAAAAGTAGACTCCAGTCAGTCCTGCCATTTATCGGTTTCCCCTAGGGTGATGTCACGTTTCCCCAGATGCTCAACAAATTTAACTTTATGTGAACTAAGTAATCATGTCATTTTAATCGCTATCGTGTCCGTGAGACACTTACACTGCATTTATTCGTACTCTCTTTCAACTTAAAAGGAGAAGCAAATTTGTTTTTTCATGAAGATAAGGCTTTTTAGAAGATGAAGATGCGATCACTGGGACAAGAAGTTTATTGGCCTGACGTTTCGGGTTCTCACTCGAGCCCATCATCAGAGACATTCGCAGATAGAGGCTTTTTAACAATGTTTTTTTTTCACCTCGAACTGAAGTATTTCCCGCCTAAATGGAGAAGAAGACGATATGTATTGCCTACGTGGTCAAACGTTTGGGCTGAAGACTGCATTTCTCCATGTCAGACTATGTTTGAATGTATTTTTCCACATAAATCGCAAGAATTACCAGAATCTACTGACAGGACGCATCTGATCTCGGCCAAAGCTAAAGGTAAGGCAAAACTGAGGTCGAAGTACTTTAAAGTCAAATTCTAAAATCGGAAAGGAATATACACCAGGAAAGGTCTATTTATTTTGCGCACACTTTACTGTTGGTTATTGATGAAGAAAGTGTACAAACACTTCAGTACTGGTCAGACTATACAGGAGATTTTAATCGGTTTAACACTTCACGTCAAAAAACGAACTGCATTCCTTTTAGCAACTTTGACTTGATCGGTAACGCAGGGGTCATTGATTGGGCATAAAAAATTTTTTTAGTGTCTTTAGAACAACACATGATCCGCTTCTCCGTCTTCCTCTTCAGGGGCATACTCTGTGGTCTGCAGACTTTTCATTTTAATCTGTTACCCTGATGATGATTACAAATCGCAAATTTGGGAGAAATGTCTTCCCTGTCTTTGTTGGTAATATTATTCTGCTTATACTAGTGGCTGACATGCAGCTGTTGGCGAGGTTCGAAATTAAGCGTCAAGGCACAAAGCGCGGTGGATGCGTCCCCTAACTTGATCGGTGAGCGTCCCCTCTATAAGGAAAAATACTACCAACGCAAAGAAAATTCTTCTTTCCCTAAGTAAAATGTGCGGGCTGCATATCGGTTTACTTTTTTAGGTTGACGAGTGCACACCGCATGATATTTGATGTTCTCAGGCAAATGCGGTGACGAAACAAAATAGGCAAACCATACATGTCCCAGGAACCCAACGAGGAGATGGCACCAGGCTGGTTGACATTCATCTTGTAATGCTTATGATATAATTTCAAATGCAGTACAGATTACACAGTTAAATTTCTCCAATAATGATCCTAATGATATAGAACACGGGCAGATTACATAAACCCACCACCTCAATCCCTGCCCATAAAATCGTCTGTATTAACCGATGGAAATTTTGAAGAATATCACAGGGTCACCTGTTCATTTGACTTCAAGGACTTCTGAAGTACAACAATAAGAGGTACCATGCCCCAGTTGGAGATCATTCCGCCAATGGGTGACTAATCTCGCCGCAGGAGAACGGTTTGGAAATACCACAAACTCGGAACTACCGTGCCTTGTCCTAACCCCTGGAACCCACTGTGCTGCGCATTTACTTGTTTATCATTTTGTTTCTCTTTCTTGCCTTTCTCTAATGCATACGCTTGACGCTACGATAGACTGTAATCTATTCGAACTCCAAACCGAAGAGGAAACGGTTGAGTGGGATTGCTGACAATAATTCACTACATGGTGGAACGATAAGTTTGGCGGGCGCAACATGCACCACGCATAAATGATGATTGGAACTGACGGCCATGGTGAGCCCAACAAGCAAACGACTGCTGATAAATGATTGATTAGGCGGAATTCAAAAATCTGAAGCAATATGGAAGTTTGGCCTGGTTTGACTGGGCTTCCATGTGACACAGCTGAACGCCTAAACCCCATAAGTGGCCTAACGGCAAACATTGTTTGTGACAAAAATTATGAGACTCACGTTTTGTTTACATAGGTCAAAAGCGAGTTCAGAGAAGCAGTTGAGAAGAGAAGCACTCAAATCTTGGATTAAACACTGCATTTGCTCTAAGCTACGTAGTTACCCTGTAGTTAATAATGAAGGGCACGCATTGCGGATGCAGTATTTGCAGGATGCATAAGCTTTGCAAATAGGCAGATGCCAAGATTGGCAACCTCCGCCCTCATCAACGATGTCTGTACGCGCTGTGCTATTCTCCTTGTCGCCAAAATCCATGTCGTTAATTACAGCAGCGTTATCCCTGTTTGTTGATTGGCGCGATAATTATCAACCACCACGCCCCGATTTCAGCAGGGGTTGTAGTCTTCTACTGGTCTTTGCTGTTACGCAGGCTCACAACGTCTTTCATAATCCTTTCACAGGAACGATTGTAAGGAGAAGGCGGGGACACAGCACCCTCAATAGGACAGAAGCTGATAATTGATTAGTAGTTGAGAATGAGACAACTCTTGAAGAGAATGTGTCGGCTCCTGCCCTTGACAGAGGTGTTTGCGGTAATGTCATGTCGACAGTACAGCCATTTTGTAGAACTTACCTACCAGTAAACTGAAGGGTAGTCTCGTACGGATTTTGAATGTCGCTGATGTTCGTGATCCGTTCCTGGACCGAATGGTTATTGGGGTTCTCCCCGGCTGACCATGAATCATTTGCAGGCCCGCTGAAAGGAATGCTAATCAGGCGAACTGTTTTCCGTTGTTTTATCTAAAGTCTCTGGATTATTAGGACAATACCGCCATTGCGGTAATATTGGTTGAATTTGAGACTTATTTCGGCCGCTCTATGGAGAGGGACTTTAGCGGCCATCATATGCTGCAGGTTCCTCATTCGATTAGGACTGAAGATCAAGAATGGGTTTCTATTTGCAGACAGTCAGATGTGTTGGACCGTTGCACTTTTCCATCAGCAAGTCGCCTCGTTGAAGGTATTTTGAGCTCCGATTAGTCTTGACATGTTTGTGAACAAGAGCATGCCCTCATCCGTATCCTTTGTCCGTTCCAGTGCTGCACACCAATCTGCCAGCCTGCATCGAGCTAAAAGACCTTTGGATGACTAGGATGTAGTAAAGCTAGCACTCTGCAAAGGGACTGCCGGAATTCCAGTTCAACAGATGACTGCAGCGATGTAAATGTCCGTGGCAGAGTCGACAATGAGCAGTGGAGGGCAGTAGTTTATCATAATCGTCGCTGCGTGAACCAAATACGCAGTTGTAAGCTCGGCGGCCATTTGAATAACCGCCTGTTCTTGTTTGGTTTTTACAACAACTAAAACAGGTTAACCAGTTCGGATAAGGGGATTTTTTTTTTACTGTTTTTTTAATGGAAGCAGATATCATTGGTATGACAGTCAAGATGTAATGCTGTGACAAAGGAGAAAACAACAATGGGGTAAATAATTTATTTTCTCTCTGACTGGCTCAGTCCCTCTATAGAGGACTTATTTTGCTGGTGTGAGCTTTTCGATGGTTATTTTGGTAGAAAGCAACTCAAGAATTGTCGTCGATAACCTTTATTTCCGGGAACCAGCGTCTTACAGTCGACTTTTGGGCAGAAATCATGCACACGTAGTGCATTCCTGACCTTTTGTTGCCAACATTTGCCATTAAGGGGAGAAATTTGGGCAAATTCCAGCGTCTAAACCCCAGGAGGCGTGCCGGATCATGCTGCATAGCGTCCCACCACTCATTTACAATACTGAACAGAATTGCAGATATTGCGGGTTGTTGGGGGGGCCTAGCAGTGTGAATCGCATCTGTGTGTTTGTGCATTGTTTCCAGTTTATTATGAAACTTTCGGTACAAACTAACTTTCAAAAGTTGCCCGTATATCCTCCAGAAGTACCCCTGCTAGCGTTTTAGTTCCTTTGGATCCGAGCTGGAAACCAAGGTGGCAAGCGAAAGTGCTAAACGATGATTTACTGCTTAGGGTTTTCGGCATGCGCGCTAACCATGCCGGATCGCGACATTGTCCAAAGGGTTCCAAGCTCAGATACCAACTCCGCACGGTAGCAAGTCGATACGGCAGCTGACGCTGTCTGCCTGGTTCGCCCCTTTCGTGTCGGACCCATGTGTGCTTGGGCGTCGTAGTTCGGGCTGGTACAGCGCCGATGCGGTAGCCCGCCTAGCCAATCACAAACATCAAAACAAAAGAGAATCATCTACTTCATTTGTCAAACCGAAGTGGAGGTGTCCTTTCGCGATATTCATCGACACACCGGCGACGCACTAGTCCCTTGAGGGTATCCTTCGTCCTGCATTACTGGATGATCGTTCGTTAGCTGTAGTCGGCCGGTCTGGTGTTAATAGACTTCTTTTCTTTGGTTGACTTCATTTGACTTTTGTCGGTTCGGGAGACGTAGTCATTGTCATAGGTGGCTGCTGCGTATCTTAGGTGACCACTCAGCCATCACATAACCGCGTCCTTAACGGGTTTAGCAGTGTTTTATACAGCAGTAGCTGCGCCAAATCTCCAAATTCCTCCCTGAGAGCAATGTCACCGCCGGTCCCCAGCTGTCTGTTCATCCCACCGTAACGCCCATAGAGTTCACGGTTGGTCCCCTCTGAAATCCCATCCAATATCTACCACCCGTGGACGCGCCAGAAGATCATCAGATAGGTTGACTGGAATCTGTACAATGTCTGATGCAAAGGTGAACAAGATAGTATGTTTTCTGCCGTAAATTTATCTTTATCGTCTTTTACGTATGTTGTTGACGTTTCTTTCCGTCATCTATTTTGTCGTCAGAAATGAGACGTAACGAAAGTTTAAATCAATTTGAATAGCAAGGAAGTTAAGTAAGAGGAATGCACACGAACGGTAAAAAACTGATCTCCAGACGTCCATGTGTATCGCTCAATGTAGTCCAGGAATGCTGACCGCACAAGAAGCAAATGGGTACACTGCTCTCATGATTACTGAACGGGATACTGCGGGACCTATCAAAGTTAAGAAATGCGCAACTTGTTCTTTTAATTACACAAGGGACCTTCAAGGTCATATTAACGCCTGGTGGAAAAAAGTGGGTAATGGGCCGCTTTTCTAAGAAGATCAGGAAAATCAGGGATTCGGAAAAAGAGCTGGTTGAATGAATCAAGGGCCAGTGGTATACGATGGTTACAGTGAGAAAAAACAAGTGTTTACCATCAGATTCCCAGGGAGTTATTGAGATGAAGTGGGTTTTGCATACACTACCTTTTTGTGGCAATAATGCGGATGCCAAACATGTATACATACCGTGAAGAAGGGTCTTGAACAAATGCGGTTAAACGACGGGAAGACTGCTTGGAGTGCGGTGAGTGAATAGAAACCACAAACAAACCCACCTAGATCGATCTGTGTGACGACATTTGCCACATTAACCTTAATCTCCATCTTCTGAGTTATAGGCAGTTGCGCGGAGACTTGATACAAACTTTCCGTATCGTGCGTGGCTTGGACTGCGGCCTTCGGTGCGATGACTTTTTCCAACTCGCCACAACAACTAACCTCCGGGGACATCCCTTCAAGCTACGTGTGCCCCAGGGTCGATTGAATGTGAGAAAATATTTCTTCTCCAACCGTGTCGTGGAACCGTGAAATAATCTGCCTGAGACGGTTGTCATGTCTCAATCTGTGGCGACATTTAAATGTAGGCTTGGCAGACATATGCTACAGCAACAAGCGGGCTATGTGACTTTTTAGCCATGTGACCAGTGACATATGTGAATCAATGCCTGCATACACTTACTGCTGTAATTTCTTCACATTTTTGTGTATTTATCGATTTTTTTATGTACAAATAGGGAGTTCAAAGGCGTAAGCCTATTTCCCTCAAATACACTGACTGACTGACATTACTCCCAAATGAGTGAAGTTATTTGCGTCGATGAGCCACTGTTTCGACTGAGGAGAGTTGACGGACGAGTTCAGCCTTTTTGGATTTACAGTTCGCTGAAGCATTACGTGTCTTGCCTAGGTAAGGTGCTGGGGGTTCCGTAAGTTCTTGAACATATATCTGCTGTTCCGAAAAGAATAGCCTGGTTTTATCTTGACATACGCTTTGCACTTCGACAATCTGTGACCCCTTACGAACACCAATCTCCTTTATTCCGAGTCCTCGACATAGTCATGTTATTAGAAAAGACGAGCTTCGGCCAGAAGTGTAAGAATCTGGGCACACTAATCTGTCAATAACTCTCTCGGCCCTCCAATTCACTTAAATGACAGATTAGATTATGGAGATGCCCTTCTTCGTCAAACTCTCATTTATCAACCTCCTACCCTTCTCAGTTTTCCATTACCTCTCTCTTACTTGCAAGCACAGACAGCGAATCTTGAACAAGATTTAGCCTCTCTTCTGCACCAGGCTACAACCCCGCTCCTCTTCCTCCTCCTCCTCCTCCTCCTCCTCCTCCTCCTCCTCCACCACCACCACCACCACCAGCACCAGCACCCCCGACCCCCTCGTTGTGACCGTCGTGGCGACAACGGCTGAACAGTCTTGCTCACTGACTTCATGCACTGCATATGTTTCGGCCTTCGGCTTATCCTCACCGTGAGGCCGGTCGATATTTTAGTGTCCACGATTAGACAAAGCTCAGACTTGCGGTCACACATCGCGCTGCCGAGCACATCATTGGCTGGCTCTCGGCTATGTTGAGCAGTTGCTTCCGCTGTCCCCTAAGCTGTCTGTATCCGTCAGTATACAATTATGATTATCCTACTAGTAGTCTCTCTGAGTTTTAGTTTGGAACATCTCTCGTTATCGGCTCATCTCATCTCGACAGAAATGTTGCGATCGTATCTACCTCCGATGTTTCCAAGTCAATCAGGTTGGATTTTCCATTAAGGCAATGAACTTGCGTATTTATGCCAGGCCATCCAGGATTTAAAATGTCTCATATCCTTAAATGCCCCTTGTGCTTAGAACACTTTAATTACAAGGCCTTCCCAGCTCAGTTTGGCCCCAATGAATGCTCCAAATACGGTAAATATCGCTAAATCTCGTATCACATGGAAAGCACGTAAAAGAAGAAGTCAAGCCGGGATTCTCCATAATGGTGGGCCTGCCCGGTGTTAAAAAATAAGTCGATTTCTTCTTTCGGTTTCTGATCGAAGCCCTTTTGGGCAACATAACGGGGAGAATGGTGAGGCACAACGACTTAAATGTCATCTGAGTTTGATTGGTTTAGCGCTGTTTACTGGTGTGTCGGTTTTACTTTGGCAGAATTTCTGATGTTCTGGCCGCAATCACCTCGGCCTTTTTGCACATCCTCCCATGCCTTGAGTTATTGTAATCAGAAAGTTAGATGTTTAGTTAGTATTTTGCACGCGGGTAGTTTTGCGCTTGTAATCTGCAGCGAAATCTATCTGGTGATTTTCAATGTCGGGCTGTGGTTATTTCACATCGCCGCGCACTAGGTTTCCGAATATAGCACATCGATTGACTACTAAAGTTTGCTGCTGCATTTCCTACTGTTTGTATTATTTCTACTTCGCGCACTGCTTCGTGTGTGTCCGTACCTCTACCTCGGGCAGTCGTCTACGTCCGCCGGGCGTGCTCGCATGCACCCTAACGCCTGTTTGTCTGTCAGTCTCTTGTGCAATGCGGCCGAACGTGCCTCTGTCCAAATACTTCAGCCACTAGTGTTCACGTGAAAAGGAACAGACCTAGGTTTACTGGGGAAGACCCCACGTGCCTCTTATTTTGCCAGCAACCAACATTCGGACCGTGATCACGGCTTTTCTTGAGACCCATCTCGACGCTATTCGACGTGTTTGCACGTGCTACCTTGACGTCAGCTGCCCTTACACTTGCTGCAGGATTCGCGAGTGCGTTTTGAGCAGTGGAAGGAAAAAGACAGGGCAGAAGACGAAGGCGACAATGCTGATCAGCTAGTTGGTGGTAGCCAATCAGATTTTCACAATTGCAGAAGCATTCTAAGCTAAACGCACGCAAGCCTACGAGTGTTCTTGCGAACCCACAGTCAAGGTGGACGCAAAAGTGAGCAATAGAGCCGGCCAAGGTTGCAAAGTCGAAGGGGAAACTGATCAAATCATGGGTCAGTCTTTATGCCTTTTATCTGCGCACTTAAATGCATGCTCGCAGTTTTGTCATCAGTTGAGCATAGAGTTAGCCGGATTTTTTTTTATTCTTGGTCTTCCTCTGACTGTAGCTATAATATTGTCCACACAGGCAATATCGGCTGTAAATCGAAAGCATGTCTCGTCTGATAACAATGGCGTATTTTTGAAAGAGCAGGGACGTCGGAAATCACATTAAGCAGGATAATTCGTTGGAGCCGATTGCGAAAGACTCCGCGTCCTAGGTGGGACTCGAGCACGCGACATCAAGGGCAGGCCTGGCCCAAAGGAGTTATTCAACTCTGTCAAAAAATACCTATTAACAAGCAGAGAACTTGATGCGAAAATTGCCCTGAATTTTAAGAAAAATCCGCGAAACAGATTTCATAGTTAATAGCTATTTCTACTGGAAGACTGCCATAAAGGAAAAAAACAACAGTTAACCCATCGTAGTCAGTTTTTTCACATCAATTAAGCATTCTAGCTTTGTCGAAAGAAATAAAAATTCAGAGGACTGATTGGATAAAAGGGTGCCTTTGTATAGATGTAAGCACGTTTTTTTCAGTAAAATGGCAAGCGTTTATACATATTGTGATTTTTTTGCAAGCACATACCGTACCTCTACAAGTTATCGATTTTGACTCCAAAATTGTTGGGTTTTTTTATTTTTTGACTAACGTTAAGACACAAAGTGGTGGAAAGAACTGATCAACTTTGGTTACTCATATCTTTATTTTTTTCTCAAGACACGGTCCAGATAAAACTTCTCATGATGACGGAGCGTGATGTAAACATTCGTAAGGTGTTTCATAGGTATGGTCACATACGTGTGTCTTAAAAATTAGTTTCACTGCTGATAAGGAAGTGATGAACGGCAAACCCATTTATTTTCCATACGACCATTATGAGATGTCCTTAAAAATAATTCGGACTCAAACTTAACAAGACGAAACTAACACTTCTTAATTTGTAGGGTACCATACGTAAAACGATTTAGTTGCTTTGCCTCCTATTTACGTGGGTATACTATATAGGACGGGACTTCTTAAGTTTTGCGTTTTATGAGAACCACAGTCGCGTATTACCTGCGGGGCTTTCTATACATTTACGTCAATGTTCTCATGCGTCCCATTTTTTCGGATTGTAATTGCCCTTTAAATATATGCATTTTACTACTTTTGCGTAGCGTTCATTTTGTCATGCATTCTCCAGTTTAATCTGCTGATGCCTTTGAATGCCTGTGAAACATATCATCGAAAACTGAGGTGGCGTTGTCCATGTAAAAACTACAGGATGAACACTTTTATATTAGTAAACAGTTTCTGATGTAGATAAAATGCGCATTGCGGATAAATATTCTTCAAAATCTGAACTATTAACCGTCATAAGCGAGCAGAACGAAAGGAGGTTTCTTGCATTCAAAAGAACTTCATGATTGATGAGCGTCTACCTACATAAAGACTGAGGAAAGATCGTACTTAAGTGAAGAATTAACTACAAATATCGCGTTACAGTGCTGTCTTCGTGAGACTACAGGTAGTCGATTCAGAAATGCTTGCTGTCAAAGAGGAGTGACAAAAATGCAATTGTCCTCAATACAACGTTCGGAAAGTCCGCATTTTAGCTGTTTCTGCCGGCGGCCAATGCGATTTAATTCGATCTTTACACTAACCTATTCAATGAATGCAAGTATGAATAACTGATTCGAAAGTAGACTGTGTTAGATGTTATTTGATGCACTAGACACGGACACAGAAACCAGAAATCACATCGCATAGGCCTTAATATCTTAAAATATTCCCCATTTCATTTTCCAGTAAGTTAAGTGAAATTCATTATGCAAGCGTTTTCCTCACGGAAAAATTTCAGATTTAAATTCGAACAAATAATATTTTTATGAAGTGCTGGAACATCATAAAAACAAAGACCACGTGTCCCAAAGCTTATGAAAACCATCTTTTTAGAACCTTAGACTATCCAAAGAGGAGTTTAGCGTGCGCTTTGTAGGATTACATTTATAAGTTGTGCCTGCAGGCTTGTTAGACTGCAGAAACTGTTACAAGATAGACGAGCCTGCGTGACATCCAAGAAAAATTGGTTAGAGCAAGATTCGAGCGGTCCCATACAGTTAGAACTAATGGTTGGGCCACTTTTCAAATGGTCGGCCTTTGCACGACGGCAATGAAATATCAATAAAAGCTTAATTCATGCAGTCATGACAGGTCTTACTCAATGCCAATCGTAAGAAGAAAACGTTCAAGGGTTCACTATGCACCCAATCGTTAAAACGACAGCTGAATCGAGTAGGACTGGCCTATGTGACCTCTATAAATAATATGACAGCAGGAACCACGTAAAATACGGGTAATTTTGAGCCAACTCCCAGTGAAATTAGAGTTAGGTTAAAGGCTAGGGTTACGTTAAGGATGAGGTTTCAGGCTGGATTTAAAGTTAACGGCAGGGTAAGTCATGATCAAGTTTAAGGTAGGGACTAGTGTTAACTTCAGAGTCAAGGTTTGGGGCAGGGTAAGGGTCAAGAGTAGGAGGACGGTTTAGTTTTATATTGGCGTTATTGCTGGTTTTGGGACATGGGAATATTTTGTCCTTTCTGAACTTGTGCGGAGGTCCACCTTTATGACTTGGGTGGGGCGCGCCCACTCTCACGTCTTGTTTAGAGGGCACATTAGTCAATCCTTCTCCGAATCGGTAGAGTAAGCCCTTCAAGGCTCCTGCGCTTTTCTGTCCACGTTCCAGATAAAACCAACAAGTTTATGCAGTATGTAAGTGCTATTTTTACTGTGCGATCGGAAACTTGCCAACGCGCAATCCATCAAGATCCAAGCAAGGGCGTGGAATTATTACCTGAAGTGGGAAATGGCCCGAAAGACAACGTAATTTACATTCAAGGCACCGATATTTGCAATCAAACTCAAGCAATTTGGAGGACCAAAGGAATTTTCGTAAGAGGAGAGTTAATTGAGTGACAAAAACAGAAAACTAGTAAGGTGTTTTGTTGAAAAAACTGACTGTTTTTAGTGCATGTTTTCCTTATTCGTGCTTTCGTTTTGTCTGACAGCTGCATCCAAAATAATCGTGCGGGTAGTCGCATAACAAAAGACAATATATAAGCCAAAGATGATGCCAGAGGTCAAGGGTGACCGGCATGACAAATCTGGAACTGTCCTGTGACTCATCATCTATCCATATTGCGCTTCGAGGTTGGTCAAACGTAAAGTGTGTATTTGGTCTGTTTTAATCCCTAAATCAGAGACTGTAGAGAAACGGACCAGTGAACTGAGAGTCGGGCTGCAATGATTCCTTCTTATAGTAACCTACATGGCATTGCCTTCTAGTAGGTTCCGAATCACCCCCTGTCTTTGTTGTGTTTTGAATTCCTGGTCAGTGTGCGTTTTGGACCAGGGGCTATGGTGGCACGCCTAGGCGCGGGTTTTTGTCGTACCAGCCACCCGTGCTC